TTGAGGAGTTTAAAGGTGGTTTAACTTGGTTTAAGGTGGTTAAAGTGGAAAATCTGGAGCAGATTATGCCCACACCATAGAATCCAGTTATCAAACCCAAAGCTAAGTGTGAATCCACCAGATAAACATGAAAACGATGAATATCAGCACCATTAGAAAACAGTAAGTCTACAGCTAAGTCTATATATCTATATATGTTGAAGGTGTTTAAAGGTGGTTTAACGTAGTTAAAGGTAGATAAAGGTGTTTAAAGATGGTTAAAGGTGGTTAATGGTGGTTAAAGGTAGTTAGAGATAGGTAAAGATTGCTAAAGGTAGTTAAAGGTCTTTAATGGTGGTTTAAAGGGAAAATATGGAGCAGATATAGAATCCAGTTATCAAACCCAAAGCTAAGTGTGAATCCACCAGATAAACATGAAAACGATGAATATCAGCACGGTCAGAAAGTAGCAGACAAAGAAAACCCGGTCGATGGCTTTGGCCAGTGTCCGGTAACATCCGGGCTTCCTCTGGTCTTTATCCTGACCGTTGTTCTGACGTTTAGCTGCCTTCACCTCCTCCAGCACCAGCCTCAGCAGGTGGAGGTCTGAGGGAGGGTCCAGAGGGCCTTTAGCCTCCACTCCAGGAGACTCTGTGACCGGAAACAGGGAGGAAAACTGTGTTTATGCATTTACGTGGTGGACGTGGTGGGATAGATAATTATATTATCATAATAACGAACAACTGTAACCCATAATAACCGAGTTATAACATAATAATCTGCACAGATTTAGTCTTTTTCTCTCTTATTTACTTTTAATTTATTTCACGTGATGCTGGACATCCTGCTGTTCGGCATCCTGGACGTGGTGGGACGGATAATTATATAATCATAATCATAATAACCGAGTTATAACATAATAATCTGCACAGATTTAGTCTTTTGCTCTCTTATTTTATCCATTCATGATGATTTAAATGTGTTTATTGTTTGTTTGCTATGTCTACATGTTGCTTTTATGATGACTTACAGTGGGGGAAATAAGTATTTGACCCCTTGCTGATTTTGCAGGTTTGCCCACTTACAAAGAATGCTTGTTTTTCCTCATCAGATGGTTATCAATTTTTATAAATTCATATGATGTGATGTTCTGGAATTTTCTTTGGGATTCTGTCTTTCACTGTTAGAATGTACATATGATTAAAGTTATAGATCGTTGCATTCTTTGTAAGTGGGCAAACCTGCAAAATCAGCAAGGGGTCAAATACTTATTTCCCCTACTGTAGATGCTTTTATCCAAAGAGACTTAAGTACTACACAATGTTCCAGTTATCATCAATCTGACAATCATCTCTTTGGAAAGCTGTTTTTGAGGTTTTAAAGCTGTTTTTTAGGGCTTCCAAACCTGTTTACTGGGGCTTTAAAATTGTTTTGTGGCTTTTAAAGCTGTTTTGTGGCTTTTAAGGCTGTTTTCTGGGGCCTTCAAAGCTGTTTTGTGGCTTTGAAAGCTGTTTTGGGGTTTTTAAAGCTATTTTGAAGTCTTCTATGTTTATGCATTTAGCAGACTGTTTTATCCAAAGTGACTTACAAAGTACACACAATGTTAAAATTATCATTAATCTGACAATCAGCTCTCTGGAAAGCTGTTTTTAAGGTTTTAAAGGTGTTTTTTTAGGGCTTTTAAACCTGTTTTCCGGGCCTTTAAAGCTGTTTTGTGGCTTTTAAAGCAGTTTTTGGGATTTTTAAAGCTGTTTTTTGAGGGCTTCCAAACCTGTTTACTGGGGGTTTAAAGCTGTTTTGTGGCTTTGAAAGCTGTTTCGGGGTTTTTAAAGCAATTTTGAAGTCTTCTATGTTTATGCATTTAGCAGACTGTTTTATCCAAAGCGACTTACAAAGTACACACAATGTTCAAATTATCATTAATCTGACAATCAGCTCTATGGAAAGCTGTTTTTGGGGCTTTAAAGCTGTTTTTTAGTTGTACTTAACTTGAAAATGAGATCTTTATCATTTTTCTTAATAGAAAACAATACCTTTGTTGGGTTTTTCCTCCAGCTGAATGCCCTCTGAGGAGCTGTGCGCCTTCTTTTTCCCTCCAGAGTCATCGAGTTGGATCAGAAAGCTCACCAGCATGGCCTCCAGGACGCTCAGCCACACCATGGTGAAGACCGAGATGCAGTATTTGGCTGAAACAGACACGCAAAAACTGTCACGTCTGGGGAAATGTCTGGTGTCTCGTCATGTCTTGATTACCTATTGTGTACACCTGGGGTTCCCCTCCCTCATGTGTTTAAATAGTCCTCGTTTCCCCTTGTCTTGGGCCAGTTTGTTTCGTCCTTTTGTCCTTTTTGTTGCGTCTCTCGTCCCTCGTCTTTTTGCCATAGTCATAGTTTTGCCACAGTCTTGTTATTCTTTATTCTGTTACTTTGCCATTGTCACAGTTTTGCCACAGCCTTGTTTTTGAACCGTGTCTGGACTTCCACCTTTTTGTTACAATACAGTAATCCCTCGTTTATCGCGGGGGTTACGTTCCGAAAATGACCCGCGATAAGTGCAGGTGTGTTTGTTCGGGAGAAGAACATAGTGATAGGCAACTGTTGTCGCTCTTTTTTCTTCTTTGCAAAAAGATCCTTGTACACCGACATGCCACCATCGATTACGTTGGAGAACTGTAATGAACGGCTCATCAAAGGGTCCCATTCCTCAGCTACTCGCTTAAGTTCAGTGGCCATTCGCACCATGGTTGCTAAGCGACCAAGCGTTAGTCCTATGTTTTGATACAAGAAGCGGGAGTGAGTTTTTAGCGAATCAGAATGCAGAGCACAATGCACCCAAAAAAAAAAAAATGCATTATGAAAATCCGCGAAATAGCGAATCCGCGATAAGTGAACCGCGAAGTGGCGAAGGATCACTGTAAACGCTGTTTTTCCGTCATATCCGCGCCTGAGTCCTCCCTCCAAACCCACCTCCCTGACAAAAACGTTGGCGATGGATGAGAATTT